GGATATGCATATTTTGGCGGAGCACACTCGACTACTTGATTAAAGAGACGCTATTGCAACTGCCAGAAACAGCTCAAATATAATTAGTCATTGATATATGTTTTTTTGAAACACTTCTTCCCCTGTTGATTGTCCTTTATTGTTTCGAATCGGAAGATCGGAATTTGTTACATACAGTGAGCTCTGGTCCATAATCGATTGTATTCGGTGTAGTGACTCTTGCTGGCGGTGGTTTTCCTCACAACTGTGACGTGTTCACAACAAAGATATGGCTTTGATAATGGGAAAAAGTTTGCGGTGCGAAAGTGTAGCAGGTGGATTGGAGGAAGGTGTGAGTTTGGAAAAGTGAGGGCAGAAATTCTAAGGATCTGCCATATCTATGATATAGCTCTATACTTTTGGAGAAACAGAGACTGCGACATGCCATGAATGATAATACTTGTGTTCTCTTCAATGTCGACTTGAGCTGGACTTGAGAGTGAGGGCAAGTGAGTGGCTTTTCTGATTCAATGGTGGATTCCCTTCAGCTCCACTCTGCACACATAATGCACTGTCGTGCTGGCGACAGAAGCAAAACTTTCCTCCATGACGCTGGGCAATATGCAAAGTACTCTGGAATCCAGGATGAGAAAGGAGTGAAGTGACAATAGTCACTGTAAGTCCACAGGAAGCCTGAATTCGGGTAGTCAAAGCAGCAACGCTATGCCATTACCACGGAATGTGAGAATTCTTTTTTGACCCAATATTTTTGAAAATCTTTAAGAATCTCATAAATGGCAGATCCTTAGATTGTCTGGGGGAAATTTACAAGAAACTCAATCTTGTTCTTTTAATATCGATGATTGGAATATCAGGTCTTCACACCACTTGTTTCCAATTTGTTCTCGTGTGTACTACATCGTTGTATTTCCACTCACCCCTTAGTTCCATTGCAAACTAATGCACAGGTTTAATAGAACACAGAATAACAACCAGATATTGTATGGAATCTAAATTATTACTCTCTCTCTTTCTCCCCCATCTATACATTGTTCGCCACTTTAGCCTCTGCATTCGATACCGATGCCCCATTAAATCTCATTCCACGTAGTGGGATTAAAAAAGCGTTTAAGTTAAAAATCCAAACACAATGTCTACACCGCTGTAAATGCACACCGCGTGTAACTACAAGGGGATGCGGCCGACAAGTTGGGTGAAAAAAACCAAAATTTAATTCCATAAACACCGCTTAACCGAGTTTTATTGTACTCATCCCCGCCCATGGCGGCTGCTGAATACAGAATGCCTCGGCTATACAGGAAGCGAGGGAGAAAAACGCATATAATTCCTGTAAATTGGTGATTTCTCCCATTGTACACAATATTGGGAGCAATAATGTATTTTAACTTATTAAACTTTAATTTCTGCGTCCACCATCCCCACATACCGTATTAGGCTTCTCGCCTGAAAATGCTGTCTCATAAATTTGGTCGCTGTGTTTAATTGGAAATTTTGATATTCACACATATTTTACAGAAAAATACACATATTAGAATTTTGGTGGACAAATTAAATGTTTCAAACCAAGAGTGATTTTTTTCTAAAGTACCTACAGATTTAATTTATTGCATTACTATCAATCCCAGTTGCACGTCTCTACACATATTATATCTCAATTTTTCTCACATGAAATGATCTGCATTGTTATTCCGCAAGAAATATAAAAGCACTTTTCTACCTGATATGCTTCGTCTAATGCACTTATTTGTAGACAAACATATTTTCAACGGTAAACAATTGGAGGGAGATTGCAACGAGTTGCATTACAATGAGCATACAAATCCCACGAAATATATTTGAGTCGCCGAGGATGTGGGACTTTCCTTTCTTCATACTGTTTTCATCTCAAAGCATTTGCGTTTCTGTGCACATTTTTTGTTTTCATTTTCGACTATTATACTCGCCTTAAACTGACTCGCTACTGTTACACCCTTTTAGCGGTGCAGAGCATTCAAGTGAATGTATTATTAAAAGTAACATTGACGTTTTCTTCAGCACACCTCAAAGAATAAGAACAATGGCTGGAAGAATATGAAGAAACCAGCTTCTAACTTGAGTTTAAAATATCTTTTGAAGGGAGAATGTGGAACCTAAGGTTTTGCATTTGAGATTAGATGGTGTCATGACAAATCAGACGGCCTTCCGAAATCACACAAATTCACAATAAAGTTTCCTGACATTAGAACAACCATCGAAATTCAGATTGAATGAATTTGTGACAGTAGAACATACATTACTTTCCCTAAGACGAAATCACCTTGTCACAGTATTTCACCGAGTGTAAAAATAACTGTTTTCTATTCAATATAAGAAGAAGCTCACGCGGAAAATACTTCAAGATGTCTCACACCATCAAGCATGAGAAATAGGGTGCTCAAGAGCGCCTCGGTATTGTCTATAAACAGGACTAACTCGTGGAAAGAGAATCGGAGAAAAAAATGGTAAAGAATTGATTGACATCCGTGAAGTAGGGCGAGAAGTAAATAAAATTTTCTGTCTCTGTGACATCACTCGAGAATGTGATTGCACACAGCAAAGGCACAGTGCCATAGAAAAGCCAGGCAAAGGATTAAGTGAAAAATTGAAAATTCAAATTATTCTTCTTATACAGCACGAGTATTTTTAATTAATCACTTCGTGACAACATAAGCGATCATTTACAAAGTTAAGCCATGTAAATTAACTTGGAGGAGCGAACAAATATTTCACTCCAAATTCAATTAAACATCCTCTTCATAATTAAATTCTCGCTGTATAACCAAAATATGCGCAACAGAACTTTCAATGAAAGCGATTCAAAAGTGATAAAACTTACTTAGTGGAAACTTGTACTCGCACTGGCATCAAAAACAACCCCACAGAAAGAACCACTTGCGAAAATCCCAAAACAAAAAGATAATGATATGAAAACGCAAAGGAAAATTATACCATTCAATGACTCTTTCTTACACCTTCTGGAGCAATAGTCTATCAAACAGATTTGCACACACCCACACACACGCTTAAGTGAAAATTCTCTCGTGTGCTTGCATTTCTTGGGCTGTGTGAGAGTCAGATCAAGGCAGCAGAGGTGAATATTTCGAGAGGTTGAGGCTAAAGGTCTGACAATGACTACGAGTTTGGCCCCCGACACTGAAGCATGTCTGAAGGGTTAGGGGTGGATGGCACGAGTGCGAGGAAGCCAAAGTGGGAGGTGATAGGAAGAAAATCTGTGATAAGGAGAGAATCGGTTCGTTTCTCCAGTCAGAACGTCTGTGAAACACTTTTACAGTCACATATCCTCCCACCTTCTTCAGAATGTTATTCCCAGATACAATGTGAGAATGGGTTCTGCCTGCCTGCTTTAGGAACTTGATGGCATGTTGGGAAGCTTAAGGAATTTCAATTTTGTATGCTCCCTGCGTAACTAGAGTTGTATAAACGTACCCTGTGTGGATGGTGGGTGTAATATAAAAACAGAATGGGCACGATCTCTCTCACTCTTTCGGCCACATTAAATTCGAGAGTGTAGGGGTGATACAAGTTCACAATCATTCTTTCTCGCACACACACCAAAGCGCCACACTTCTCCAAGCTAAATTTATACAGTGATTCAAAGTGTTGAAGAAGTTACACCGAAAGGGGTGAGAAATTTCTTCACGCCCAGCAGCTTTATAGTTAAATAGCAAATTCAACATTCGCACTTTGAAATGATTTCACAAGATGTAAAGTAAGTGGAAACTGTTTTATGGAAGCACGTCTCATGCATCCAACCAAAATGCTATGTCGATGTCGAACGAGATCTCATGAAAGAACCCCATATTCAGGATCATTCGCTCCATCCACGCGCAGGTGGGTGAGATGGAATTAAAATGTTTAAATCAAAACACACCCTTTCCATCGCAGAGAGGAAAATACCAGCAAAATTTCAAATATAAAGTCTCTTTAAGTAATTCACTAACAAAGTGTTAAATTCGTTAAAGTCACCACTAAATTTGTATCTAACTTTTTCAAAAGTTCCACAATTCACTTTGAAATTGTATCATTTATTCCAAATACAGCACATCGAAATCTATTTGTGAGTGAATAAAGCAAATATTCACAACATTTAATATTGCATCAGTTTGAAAGCTCAGCTCAAAATCCTCTTCTGTACAGATGAATAATTAATTAGTCATATTTTTACAGTGAAATGTCGATTTCCTCGTTCGGGTGTAGTCAAAGTTTAGTCAAGTTGCATCGAGTCGGGTTATTTAAAATTTTAAATCCCCTTATGAAAAATCGAATGAAATCAAAAATGAATTTATAGACTGTCACATATGGCCGTACGAAATCCCTCTGCATATCGATGGGGTTTTTCGAGCATGCCACCCAACCCAACACCCTTGCCAATGTGTCAATCTGCCCATCACTGCCACTGTGTCATAGCGTTGACCTCTAACGATGCATCACAGCCCCACTGACCGTCATCATTGTCGCAATCATCGCATATGAACATCAAACGTTCGACACTTAAATCAATAATTGCGCCTTTTTCATACGACGACAGGGCAATTTGGGATAATTTTTAATTGATGACCTCCACACTTCCACACTGTAGATGAGCTGTTCGCTCTCCTGCCGCTCTGTGATGATAAATTAATGTGCAAAAAGTCAATGAAATACATATTTCTCATTTAGATTTTTAACAACTTTTCCATAGGCGACAACAAGCTCGCTAGATTAATTTCAACAAAGTTAAGGTTTAATTATTCACTTCAGTGCTCTTCTAGGAAGGTCTAAGAGACTATTCCCAAAGCTATACACGAAGACATGTACATACATATATTATGATGTATCCACTTCTCAGATAAGCTATTCTGCAGTAATAAACTCGCATTATCGTGGTATTTTAATGAACAGTTACACAAGATTTTTATAGTAATTGTCCTTTTACAACTTTGAAAAATCTGACCTTAGTAAAAGTCTATTTTTCTTTACAGAAACATGGCATCCAATAGAAATTACTGAACTCCAGCCGCTTTATCCGTCAGTAAATATAGCCGACAATTTGTATTGAGAACTATTCATCCTGAGGTGAGTTGCATATATACATTTTATAAAATTTGAAGGGACTTTTGTTTGTTTTGCAAATGTTTTTACAGTCATTTGACTTAGTCAACATTGAAATTTTCTTCTTATTTGTTACATTCTTAAAGAACTCAGGTGAGAGGTAAGAAAATTCTACGTGAGTCATGGAAGTTTATTTAATACTCAATGAGGAAGATGTATGTACTTTTTACATTTGCCCATGAAATTGAGCGAGCAGACAAGAAACAGTCGTGCTCAGCAGTGAGGGTTGTAAAAAAAGTGAAGAAAATACCCAGAGGAATACGCAAGGGTGCGAGTGGGGCGCACAGACAAGCAACCAGAGAGGAATTCTACCATTTAACTATGTTAGAACCAACTTGAGTATATCTTTTGATAATTCACAGGAGATTACTGAGCTTTAATTGGATCTGGTATGAGTTATCACTGGTGTGAAGCACCTCGAAAAAGTCATGTGAAATTACAAGTCAAAAGAATGAGGGTGGAAGAGCGAAAAGGAGACCGGGGGAGAATCACACTCAATGGGAAAGCCTCACGGCAACACCGAGCGCGCCATAATTCTTTAACTGTGAAATGTGTTGAGTTTGAAACCCTGAGACATGAGGGATTCTCGCCGGTTTGTTCTTGCCGTTTCGCCGTCTCTGCGGAAGAGTGCCGTGGTATGGGGCCACGAGTAAACAGACAAGAAACATGATAGGTATGAGAAATTGCCGGTCTGAGGGTTATTACATACACCCCAGTGTAGCCGCCCAAAGACAAACACTCGTACGAAATGTGGCTGGGGCAAATGCGAGCGCGAGATAGCGGAAATCGAAGACTTCTTTTCGGAAGCAATCCACAGTGGAGATTGTCAGGGGGCTCCTTCACCAACAAGCGAAAACTCATTTAGGAATTGAATTAAAAACTTTCGCTTTCTCACTTGCAACACCCACCCTGAAAGCCGCCACCCCACCCACATTCCGCCGCTCCGCTTGTAACATCACCTCAGCGACAGTGAAGAACCGCACAAAACTCTGACCACAATTGTAATCCATTTGAAAGTTCACAGAAAATATTGCATGCTTATCGTATGGATTACAATTTCACACTGCAAAATAGGCTTTTGTGGAGAAGTTTTGTGTGCTCCCAAAAGGGCCAGAGACGCAAACTCGAAATAGCGCTTTTAAGAACACTTGGTTAAAGGGGCGGACGCTTGGCGTTTCTGATCCGGCATTGATAATTGTTAATAGTGTTTTATAGAGATAAATTCACCCTGATTGCAATGCATTCGTGCCATTCTAAATTGCTCACCAAGACTTACAATATGGGCGGAAACTTTAACCATAATTTTTCGCTCACTCACACACATGAGAAATGTGCTTTAATTAAATATCACAACTTATCCACTCTTCCCTGAGACAATAAAATTATCTACTTTATTTGCTCCATTTTAACCACATTGCAAAAGCTCAAATGCAATATTTCGGAAGGTAAACATTTATGCTCATATTTATGTCTTCGCGCCACTTTAGTAGAGACAAATCGGATTAATTTTTTTGATTTCGTTACTTGCGATTCTTTTTTATCAACTTGTGTCGATGACATTCTATGTATGCTTCGTTTTGTGCCCTCTCGTATCCATTCCTCCCAAAGTACACATCAGGAATTCAATAAAACTGATCAACTAAAAAAACTCGGTGAACAAACAATAAACACAGCATTATGGTTTTCCTCTGTTTGTCATTTCCCATTTTCATCGATGAATTTTCACTCAAGAGTAATATTTTTCCACAGAATTATATTGCAAAAATATTTTGCTCCACTTCGAGAACATCCTGGTGTCAAAATGTGCGCAATATTAGATTTCAAGCGGCTAAATTCTCGAATAGAAGAAGAAATCGTGGAGTTGGAAGAAATCAAAGAATTTGGCAGTTAAGTTAATTTTTAAACTTACTGTTGATGCCTCAAATTCAACAGGATAACTATCAATTACAATCATCAAGTGCATGAGTGTGGAAGTGCTTATGGCGGAGGAAATCCCTTCGAGGAAGGTTTGCCAAAAGTGGGAGTCAATAAAATTATTTAATGCCCAATAAAACATAACAATAATACGACGAAATGTACAGTGAATAACCCGAAGGCATCTCGAGAGATTGTTCACGATTATGATTATACGCAATGTGCTGACCACAGCACAATATGGTTCACTCCTTCATTCAGATCGTTAAAGTTGGACTTGAAGGAGGATTTGTCCACAACCCACTTTTACGATGGACTTGCTAACTCGACAAAAGTGGCCTCTGGCCATTTCACGCTCCTCTGTTAGTCTGTGCACTATTTTAAAGCATCAAACTGTGTCCAATTTCATATCTTTCACCCCTAACGTTTCAAATATGACTTTTATGTCTCCACTTTAATGCTTTGCTGAATAACCTCTCACTCTTTCACACAAAATGAACACAATTTCGATTAAAACCTCGAGAGATTTTTCGCAATTTTTCTTTTATGGTTTCCCAAACATTATACTTCAAATAATGCTCAATTAGACTTTTGCAAGATATTTACCTGAATATAAAATCTTGATGTGTTACAGTCCAAGTCAGTGTGACACGAATTTGTTCACTTGTTGTAATACAATTTGCTCTTTTTGCCGTCGCAGCGTATAAAGCACATTCCTCTTGCCAGCATTCACCTAATAAAATATTTAAAAGAATTTCCGTCTGGCGCATTTTCTGTCACCCATTTGTTCTCTCCACTTTGTCTACATTCTGTAGCGGAAATTTCTTCCACACCCGCAAACCTCATGTTACTTGAAATACGATTATGTCCAAAGAAGTGCAGAAAATAAAACGTCCCGAAAAATTTTTCTTATACCGCTAAAAATTCGGTGTGTCTAAATATTTCATTTTTTTTTGGTGAAGAACAAACAGAAAAAAATCAAAATACTCTCGGTTTCTGCAAGAATGGTACTTTCATTGAATGACGCGTAGAAGTGGATTTAGATCCACTTATAATCCTTATTCCTCGTTGTTACACATCATCTTTAAAATAAATGTCAAAAAAAGAATCCAAAGTAACGTTCTCACATTTCACTGGGATTAAATTTTATTCTCCAAAAAGAGTGTGTAAAGTTTCTGGAAGTGAGGGAACACTTTAATATTAGCTTTTAATGTAAAGCAAACATCCTGATTTTCATCCTTGGCTGCCATATGAAAATAATGCAAGAGGCATTGGAATCTAATCCACACGAACCTCAAGAATCTCAAGAAATGTACACACTTTCCTCCATTGTCTTCGTCCACAAATTTCCCGACAATTTCCGCACTTTACTCGATACAGATGGTAAACATTTGAGATGTGTAGAGTATACGAGAGCTTAACTTGCGGTGGTATTATAATTCCGGAAATTCAATCGAATGAATCTTGTTTGAAAGTCAGCAAAATTAAACTTTGCAGAGTTTCACTCTCTCATCCTTCCTCATTTTCGCTCGTTCTGTGTGCAATTTTAAGTGTGTTTGCATGGAAATAAAATAATACTACTTTTTAGTAGAACATTCAAATTTGAAGACAAATTATCACACTCAATGAAATTATGTGACTTGTTGATTTAACCAAACGGTGAGGCACAATTTAATATTATTCCATTTGCTTCTTGATTCGCTAGATTATCTGTCATCTCTGTGTGGTTCCTTCATCCCAAGAACATGATGGTGTTTATTTACCTGAATGATTATAAGATTACCTAGAATTCCGCTAACGCACTTGAAGTGTATATCATGCAATAATTGATTTACAAGGCAAGGAAAGATTTCTGCGAGAGTAATACTCTTCTTAAGATGTGTTTCTGAAGCAACAGAGAATTTTAATTCAATTTCAGCTGAACTTAATCGCTTCTTATATCTCATCATTCTTCATGGATTTTCGTGGTTGAACTTCTCACCGCTCAGTCTGTGGGTGTCTGAGGTTTATATCTGATGTGTGAGAAAAGTTAAATCTGAGTACAAACACATCGTCTTTAAAAAGCAGATAGAGCCGAAAATTTGTGCAGGAGCGAGCGAGATAAATGTGAGAGACACATGAAGAGAGAGACTTTTCTTCTTATAGCATCTCCTCCTGGTTCATTGCTTCGGTTTGTTTACAGCTTTCCCAACAATTCGAGATACAGCACGTTTCTAATATGTAGTTGCTCCTTTCACGTTTCCTTTTGTGGCCCTACACTCCTCGCCCACTCCTTAACACTCTCTGGCATCGCCTTCACAATTCAGCTTCCGATGGTTTCTGTTGAATATGTTCCTAGGGAGACTCTATAGACTGATATATCACTTTGACTTCTCTTATAAAGTAAACTCTAAAGATTCGACTGAGTCTTTGAGCGCATTGCGATGTAAAATTTTTTATAGAACTCTCACATTTAATTAATCTGCAGTGGTGAGTAAAGTAGTCAACATTTTCGCGATTACATTACATAAAAATATTCATAAATAAATACCTATGTGTCCACTGAACACAATGCATTGCGAGGTAACAATTCTTGTTAAACAAATATATAAACAATTTACATACATTGTAGTGTCCCAAATATTTCACTACATATTAATTGAGTCTGGAGGAGATATTTCATCCCTTTAAGGGAAGATATTGTGAGAAATTCATAAGAAAGGGAAGAAATCTTTCTGGTACGCAATATAATGAAATCGTCTTTGGAAAATTACTTATAGAAAACAACCAAATGACGCGGGCTTCCGCACTATAGTTAAAAATAGTATCAAACTTAGGACAACAATGTTCATTCGAAAATCTCATCTAGTACTTTGAACTAACTGTTTCTCGTTCAACCTTGAGATTTAGAAACCTGAATTAGCGTTCAAAATAAAAACACGCATGCGCATCTTACTATGAAAATATGGAAAATGAATAAATAGATACTAGCTGACCATAGAGGTTAAAAAAAATTCGATCAAGGAGAGCCCGATCGAGAAGCGACACCACAACCATCAGATGAGGGGACGGAGGAGGAAAGCCTTTATAAATAGGAAAATTGGGTACGGTTCCTCAGTTGTTCCTGGACCAGCGGATAGAACATTTCGAAAGTCTTCCTGAAGTCGCGATTGTAGAGAATTGAAGAAGAAAAATTCTCTAAGTGCCGAATCCTGGACTTTGAAATTTTCCCGCGGACAACTTGAACCAGCCTAATAGGTAGCAACGTGACCATTACAACATAGCCTACATATTTGAAGCTTTCTGAAGGCTTTTCTACTGCCACTTGCTCGCTGAATGCGATGCAATTTATTTTCATAAATGGACGCTCACACGAACAATGAACAGATAAAGTGATTTGTGTGGTGAATTGGATATATACAATGTTCGGTGCCCATTCTAGTTAGTTAATCGACTTGCTGAACTCTCACAATAGGTTATTTCCCACGTGGCACCACGGTTTAAACTTAAAACATGAAAAAATGTGCAATCATTTCTTTTGTTGGTAGCATTTTGTGATCATTGACAATGAATTTCACAAATTTATTCTATTGCACATATGTACATATATTAATTGAATTTGAGTGATCAATTTCTGGCCAGCAGCGAGAAACTGATTTGCTCTTGTCCATCACCAAAATCCGTAAAAAGGATTGCTGGATGCTTTTTTGCTTGACCACAATTCATTCCGGATGCCGCAATTCATCCAACACCATAGAGCCGATTTTAGTTTGAGTGAGATTTACAAGACAGGTCGGCCTGGGTGAAAGGGTTGCTCGGTTGTCTCCATTTGACAGTGTAAATGCGATATACACACTTATTATGGAACTCGAGATGGGGTTTTGGCGATTGTGGGGGAAACACACGAAACCACGGATAAATGTTTAGACATGTGGGTGAGTAATTGCACGAGTGAGGTCAGATACAGACTAGTTGAAATTGCATATCGAGGTGTCTAAATAGAATACAATCCCATTCAGTAAACACACAGCAACTCTCACATTCTCCTCCTAAAGAGTTAATTAAAATTGAAAGCCTTCTGAAACTTTGAACTCTCGAAGTAGCAAAGTGTCCGAATATTTTAGGCAATTATCTATGCAGGAATATTGCCGATGGGAGACTTGATGAGTGGCTGTAAAATGCATAAATAAGCCATTATACGCAAATCCCAAATGTAACATTGAACGATGTAAATCTCTTAACTATTCAGCACTATATAGCAGTTCGGGAGCAAAGTGAGCATAATCATAGCATTATTCAATTGATCCGAAATAACATTTTCCACCGCAAAGTACTCAAAATGGCACATCGAAAACTGTGTTCAACTAATATGAATAATTTCCGGTCGCAAATACTCTCTGTTGTGTCACTCACGTTGTCAAACATGAATTCAATTTACAGACAATTCTCAGCTACATTCTTATCATTGATTTATTGATTAGCTCTGGGGGCAAAATCGGCAAAATGTGCCATGATGTTTCAGCTGCGATGACTTTCACAGGGAAAAGTGATATTCACTTTGTATATATGTACATACACATCTAATACTAGCAGCTGAAGCTAAGATAATTGTAATGACAAAACATTTAAAAGCAAATTAAATCTGATATCACAGTGAATATAATACGACTTAACATACAATGGAAAAAGTAGGGGAATGTTCAAACTTTGGATAGCTTTTGTAAATTTTCCGAGTGCGCAACTCACACCTAATTTTAGATAGAAAATCAGTTTATATGTCAATTCTCTCTAAAAATGTAATTGATGTAAGACACGAACTGTCTATACATTATGCATTGATAATCTCACAGTTATTTATCATTATGACTTAGAGAAATAGGAGACTTGTGTGTAGTTCGTGAAGATTCTCGCAAACTTTTTCTTCAAAATAAGAAGTCACTTGCATGTCGTGCAATACTATAAAGAAAGGTGAAAATATATAATTTTCTTACACGAAGCTAGAATATCAAATGTTTCTCATGTTATATTGTTTTATGCAGTGAACAAAATGATTTATGGAAAATTAAAGAAGAGAGACATGAAAAGTCTTTTTGTATGCAATATCAGTGCATCTAAACTAGTGAGCAAAGAAAGTTATAACAGAGTTTTCAGTGGGTAATTACAACAAATGTTTTTGTGATTTGTTATATTATTCTCAAATGACATACATAAAAGATACACAATAAAAATTCTAATTCTCAAAAGTTGCATTCCAAAAAAAAATCTTGCACTTTCTTTGGCGATGTTCAAAAAGAGATATTTTAATAAATGTTACACAAAATATATAAAAGAACTTAATTATGCGCATATAGAAATTTTAATTAGAATCTACAACCACATGTGAAATTGAATGCGCAATTTGTTTGTGTGTAAGATGAGCAGTGAGTGAAGGGCGTGAGAGTGGAGAACAATTTAAATGGCATACAAGTAGCGATCCAGTCAGTTCATTTAGAAATTCCCGAGTGAATTCCTAAGGCAAAGATTAATTGTTCTAAGAGGCAATGTCAGAAATACGAAGGATATGATGCTCTTTTAGTATGTGCTATTTCTTTGGTGAAATCATCTAGCACGACTTCAATTTAGATAAGGGGAACTTAAAGCCATTCCGGAAAATTTTGAGTCTCATCTACAAGTCACAATGTGTCTATGTAAATTGTAACAGAAATGTCACAACATTGAGCATTATTATTTGGTGGAAATCTCCACAAAGTTTATCACTTGGATCACTTGCAAACAGAGTTGTCTAATCCCACTGTCCTGTCTGTAAATATGGCTGGAAAATCCTCTTCTCGTGGAGAAAAAGTCGAGTATTTTTGAGAATCCTGAGAGTAACAAAAAGTTTTATGAAGTCTCTAAGTAGGAGTCGATCCTTTTTCCATTGAGCAGGTGAAATTGAAAGAAAATCCTTTCTGGTTTCCCAGCTAATTCTCCTCGCTCCAAGTTTCCGACAAGTTAATATTCTCCAGGACACTTTCAATTACACAATAGACTGTGGCCAAAGTTTACCCAATGCCTTTAGATTGAGAGGACATTTTTCTCCTCTGCATCATGTATTAATTAGAAAATAATAAGAGAGACAACTACAAGATTTACGCTCACAATACCATCAGCCAGTGTACACAGGGCAGATGGGTGTTCTCCTATTTTATGGGGTTTAATAGAGCGCAGAGTCAATATGATGGAAAAGGATGGGAGGACTAGAAAATAAATACTCGCATCAGTGGCAGTTGAGATGGTTTTCCGTTGAAAGGATGGTACATTGTGGCACGAGGGTTAGCGACAACGTCGACGAAATGAACACAAACATAATTACTTGTTTAATGTCAAGTGCCAAAATTTATGGCCTTTAATGTGCATGACGAGGAGAATACAATAGATAAATTATTTTAAATGAACCACCAGAAGAATTTATTTTGTTCAGGATATATTTCCCTTAATTCTGCATGCTGTAGAAGAACAATTAAGAACTATTCCATCTCTGATCCTTTCAATACATATGTGTAGTTTTATATCGCCTCTCTCGTCTGCCATATTTTGCAGATTATGCGGCATCAGCGGTAATCCGACGAGATACTGCGAAATCTCATCGAATTACGTATATTAAACCTGAAAAAGCGGAATCATCGAGTGAAAGAGTGGACAAAGAATGCACAGAGAACCACTGGATCACGATGATGGGAACAAAGGACATATTTAATCACATAGGAATTTTTCATAAAGCTTCATTGAACCGTAGTTTAGTGAAAATTCTCTCAATTCTATCCATCGTGATTTTGTCATCTGCTGGTTATGGTAAGTATCGTTTACATGTGGTTTGTTTTTCTATTCATTCGTCCACCGCTCAGCATAAACACATATATTAATCCATCTGTGCTGTCCTGTATGTTTATGTAAATGACTGAAAAATGCGCAAATATGTAGAATTATACTGGCACATCCTATTGGATCAAAGTTGAATAATTATGCGACGGTAATTATTGTGGCTATCTGGGTTTAATTTATTAAATTCATTTTAAGTGCGATTTTTCTCATAATTTCCATTTTATTCTGTCTATCTATAAAAAAAACCTTCTTGAATGATATATCAACTTCTGCTACATTACCCATTCTTTAATTTTCACGTAACTTTTAATGTTTGAATTTAATTTTGTATATTACACTCATTTACTTCCTCTACTACTGATAATACTATCTAGTTCTTAAAATTTTGAAAACGAGAGGAAAAACAACTGGAGAGAATAATAATAAAAAATACGCTTGGTAAAACTCATCCAACTATGAATACTTTATAGTCCAGACGCCAAGAGTAATTTAATTTATCGGCTTTTTCTGAATATTTGCGCATTGCGCGAACTCAAACCTTTTTTTGTACTGCGAAGGGAGTAGGAAATTGTAAAACCCTGAAAATCTAGCCTGAGAGCACAGGAAAATCCCTACATGTCCTGAATTTGCGCGTGGTAAATCCACCCAGATTGACTTTTGTGTTTTGTATTCCTCAACACACACTGACGAGAAGAATATTCGTGTCAACCCATGATTTGTTTTTTTTTCTAAGTAAAAATCAATATTAAAGTCATGTCAAACAAGTTCAATTTTCCGTTAGAAAAATATTCTAGAAATTAAATTGCATTAGAATCGTTCCCAATTTATCCAGTTTTAATTATTTTTAGTGCAATTTGAGTTATTCTAGGGAGTGTATATATGTATACTTCTCGCGCTCTTTTTCATATAATATATATTTGTGAGTCGAGTTGAGTCGGAAGAGCTGCATTCAGCGTTAAAAATTAATTTGGAGTTGAATTAATTTTTCATATCTTAGCCGTTATACGTTTGTGAGCCTCGATGGACTTCCTCCTGATAATTTAGTTTCGTTTTCGAGAGTGTGAGCAGTGGAGTTGAGGTGCTCTTGAATAGAATCTGTGAATGGTGAATACTTGGGTGAATATGAGTTTGAGATGGGAAAAGAGAAACTTTTCTTTTCTTGTAATATTACGAAACAAGCTGTTTTCCCATTTGATAGCATCTGCTTGCTGCTTTTGCCTCTCTCAAACACATGTTAGCCATGTACCAGAAGAACAATAATCATGAAAAGAGGAATTTGTCTGTTGAGATTTTTCTCCCACTCTACGTACATTATATTGGTTGAGATTTAGAAATTCTTTCCGTAGAACTTTCCAAGGCAAAGAGGCACGAACTGTTTATGGTTTTATTGCTCAGAGGATAAACTTTTACAGATTTATTGTCGAAACTGACGGATGCCTCGGCAAAAACTTCTTTCTGCTCAAGATCACGAGTTACAATAATTGGTTATAATATTGACGTATTAGTGAGACTTGACAGATTCTCCTGCATTGAATTAACGTTTCGCCTCCTCAAGTGAATATAAGTATTTTTTGGGTTCTATGGTAAATATCAAAAATTTAAGATAATTTCAGAGTTTTGCCAGATCTCTATATTTTATTCATTCTTTATCAGAAAAAAACGTGCTGTCATTCAGCCACTCTGCATAAATCCAATGTCTGTCTCCATATGAAAAAAATACATGAATAGAACTGAACGTAATGGGCAGCTCGGAAATACAGACAAGCCCTTTTTTACAAAAACAGTTCCTTCATAAAATTCAACTCATTTGAAGCTTTTGGAAATCCATGTACACTGCGCTTTGTACTATCTCCCCTATTTATGTACTTTGAAGAGATTTTTTTTCTATGGTCATTCTCGTACATTCATACTGCCATTCTATTATATGCATTTTTCTGCAGAGCATTAAAACATCAAAGTGCGAAACATGAAAGCCGAAAAAATTCCAAATGATCACTTCACCACGAAATTGCGCAATTTCTCCAACAAATTTAGTAATTTAGATACTCGAATTGCACAATGATAACACTGAAATTACTAAACGTGCAATGATTCTATATAATCAATATTCTAATACATATTAGAATACAGCAAAATATGAAAAGAGTGAAATTTAGATGAACAGTATCATTTACCATTAATATAAAGCAATCAGGAATTAATTACCGTCTGCGAGAGTGAATAAAAAGAGATAGTGAACACAAAGGGTAGTAAATGAATTAATAATATAGAATGAATTCTACATTACATATGCATGAAGATATTAAAATATTATGGCACTCTCGGTGTGAGCAATAGATTGCTGGACGAAAAAGTTACATTTTCGCTGGCATGAAAATGACAACAGAAATGTGAAAGTAAGGAAAGTTGTGCATTCTCGGAGAATCACTTGCAGACTCCTAGCTCATTTTCTATGTGTAACTTTTCCCTTGAAACTTTCTAAATCCCCCTCAAGCATATAAAGTACGCTGTTGACCAGCTTTCTTGCACTTCTCTTGTATAGTAGAATCCCTCTTTTGAATAGGAAACTTCTTCCCTCATTGCCTTGCCTTTTTCCTCCACCGAAAGCGTTCCGAATTATTCTTCACACCAACATTTTAAATTGTACGGAGCATATCGTGTGAAATTAGCATTTCTTTCACACAATCACAATTTAATGATGGTGAAATGGTGATAGTTTTCTTCTCTGTCGTCTTAACTAGTTAGCATGAAAATTGGATTGGCCGCGCAGAGGGACAATTGAATCATTCAGTGTGCAGTGAAACTTACCAACGTCTTTTCCCGCCACACACACTCTCTTCTCTTGTAATTTGAAAAGTTGCTCAAAAGGATTCACAGTGGCTCATTCACTATCTGCACACTCTCTTCATTACTTTTGAATATTAAATTACTTAAAGTGGAAGAACACGCGGAACTCCATTGCCGCAGATTCACTTCCACTGCGAGTGCAGGAAAATGCACAGTGTGAGTAAATTGAAATTGGAATAAAGAAATTCATAGAAATCATAAATAGTGCAAAATTCACTTTTATGCATATCTTTTCGATTTGTTTATTTTCTTTTTAAATTTTTGTGATATCAAGAAAATAGTGTTCACGAGTTCCTGCAATTTGTGCCATCTATTGGCTTACTAAAGCTTTCCATTGATACAGTTTGTATGCACATAAAAAGCACAAAAATCAAAGTGGATATGAAAAATTGCTTTGGAGTAAATCTCGTTGTCTCAAGTGGATATTTCGAAGTCGTTCCTAGGATTTCTGGTGAAATACTCGTAAGCGGAATGTTGGAAAATGCATTTCTCAACTTGGCATTGTTGAAACTTTTCCCCAAACACGTTGAAGTGTTGGTCAAATTGTACACCACGTCCTCGCTCATATTGTTAAATGACTGTTTAGTAACTACCTAGAACAACTTGCTGGGAAGTACATTTAAAGCGAGTACCTTACACTCAAACGCTCGACAAAGTGCCCTAATAATTTGGCATTTAAATGCGGAGACAAAACACAGAGAAGGGTTGCAGACACTCCCTCGCTTTTCCCATCATATTTTCTCTCGTTCACCCTCACAAATTTTCGGTTCATCTCCGTCCGCATCCCTTATTTAATCCATACGTTAAAGCTGCCTTCCCTGAAGCTATGAAAATCAATATTACATCTTGATTGTATGAAAAACTCTACGTCAGCTGTGGCTGGTCTTTTTCACACTAGCATCCACAGGGTATCATCACATTTACACCCTCCCACCAGTAGAAAGATTGACACTCCATATCCTTCATCGCCATGGGCGGGCACGAGAAGATCCAAAATTCTCTATGAGATTGTTGACCGACGTCCAGACGCCAGATGTGCATCATTTGAAAAAGTGCCATGATAAAAACACTTCCAATTTAGGAGATACACTTTGGGCAGATCATCTGAATCATACACGAACAATTCCAATCAATATTTCAATGTTTATAAATTCGCTGTTTATTAAATGTACAGTTTGACAAAATGTAACGGATATTCAATACCTATAGAATGAACAGTGACAATGAGTTGTATGTGAATTTGCGGAGTAATTTCGGTTATTCTATAAAATCAATAAATACAAATAATTAGAAATTTGTAATTATCGTCGTTCTATCCACATAAATTCAATTATTGAACATAATAGGGAAGCTATTTAGCTAGCAATCAAGAGTACTTTTCAGCGAAATTTCGCCCCAGTTCCCAATTTTCTTTCACGCCCTTGGGACTAGTCATATTGTCGTTAATGAGCCGACTAACAATCATCACAAGAACAATAAGCAATCGCAATTTTGGCGCCACACACAACAAACTCAGCCATTCCTCAACCCAGCGTGCCCCGAAATACTCTTATACTCGAGGGAAAATGACAAATATGGTGTTCATTTATCGTGAGCAACAAGGGATTCATAATCACTCTTTATTATTAAATTTCATCCTTAATTGACTTTGTCAAATATTCCCATGCAATTTGTCAAACTCGTTTTTGGGCCGTTTGCGCCATTCAAATTGATAAGGCATAATTGAGTAAATTTCTCTCACTCCATTAACATAATAATAAGCTCAGAGACAGTTTAACCTTTCACTCTTGTGGCGAATTTTGTTTTAGTAAACTGTTTTATAATTACGCAAATATCTCCTTGCAATGTTTCTTCTTGCACCATGCTTTCTGCATTTATACATTCAATTCCTCGCTAAGCGCAGTCGTGTTAACAAATTACAATAATTTAGCAGATACAGTCGACGAATGTATAATTTGTAGTTATATTCTGTAATTTAGTGTTCAGAACTTTAAAGAAAATTCGAAAATCTAGCATCTGATTTTTATATCACAAATTACGAGTAAACTTGAAATCATCAAAACTTGTATGACTATGCAAAGTGAAATGTATATGAAAATGCGAAATACGAGACCTAATAATTATGGCACGTTTGAATGATTGGGACACCGATGTGAGCATATGAACGGCGAAAAGGCCAAATCCAACCATACCTCTATTGGCAATATGTTGCGCAATATGCAATCCGATCAATGTGTGTTTATCGCTGAGGGAGAAAAGACCAAAACGGCAGAGTAAGAGAGAGGTTTAATTAAATCAATAATTTTTCATTTTTCACACAGCCAGAGCATTTGAGCCGGACTTTGTGTTCCCATTGGAAAACGTGACAGTGGCAGCGGGTCGAGATGCGACATTCACATGTGTTGTCAACAATTTAGGTGGTTATAGGGTGAGTGGGGACTCGACACAAGCGAGGGTATGTATCGGTTTTTCATTAAATACGTTCCATGAGTTGTGGTTGATGCTGATGGATGCTGTATGATGAACACCACTCACCAGAGCACCAAAGTGATGCACCTTCGCACCTCACAGTAAATTTTATCGACAACTATTTTCACTATAGTGATGAATTGAAAGCCTCCACAAAGTAAATCTCGTTCACTTTCCTCTCGATTATTGAGCCAAATAGAACGTAAAATCACATGGTAGTCAGCACAGAGCACAAAGAGCACCAATCTTAATTCACTATCTATTATATACCCTCACCTTTCCGTTGATACATACTAAATGCAGATTCCCCAGGAAAGAGTCTCTCACGTGATTTCATTTGGCAAATTGATCAGTTCTCGATTGTGAGGTTGTTACACTATATTATTAACAGATATGAAAATATTTTTCAATAAAACCATCTAACAGAAGTTATTTCCAAAAATCAGCATGTTATGGGTTAATTGCTGCCAATTATCGCGCACACCAGAGCCAAATTACTCCATTTTTATCTCTGGTTCTGGTAATGTTTGCAAATTTCACAAAATACACGCAAAAAATGGTTTAAAAATCACGAGTGTAAACAATGTTCTGTTGTTTCAGTGCGAATGAGATGAAAAATCGCGGTAAATAAAACAATTGTTGAAAATGCTTTCAGAAATTTTACCCCTGCTGAATGGAATTTTAAATAAACAAGAAGTGCTGTATATGCAACAGAGTAAATCAATTTTGTCCACACAAAGCGATAAATTAATTGCTTCACGTGATTATTTATTTGCACGCAAAAAATCTACAACACTCATTTTGTGAAACAATGCGGAAGGCGTATTTATTGCCGCACAAAATTGATTACTGACTTCTCGATCTCAGCATAATGCTTCATTCAAGTATTACTGTGTGCGCAAAACTCTCGGAAAAAAATTAAAATTTCATTTTAAAAATTTCCATTAGGCTTTCTATTGAAGAAAAAAATACTGTATAGTTTTATTGCTACAGAAAATGATTGTAAATATCTTACTAACAAACACAAAGTGTAATTAAAGAAATCAGCCGCCACTACAGCACCATAAATCCACAAAAGCCTAATGGAAATGGCAAATTGCAAATTATTGTCTTTGTGAAGTGATTTTGGAAGAGGAGGAAATAGAGAGAGTTGACTTGCAGGACAACTTTGTGTGGTGAGAAAGTCAAGATAAATGTGATCAATAAATTTGTATGTCCACCCCTCCGTGGCAATAAATTAACTGAATCTTTCTAAAGCGACAATTAACCCTAAATAACTTGCATCAACTGTTGTCCAAGGAGCAAATAGCATTGAAACATTCTCAACAATTTCCCATTCAGCAGAGGCATTTCCGACTATGGTCTGCCACCGTGTATTTGAGCAGAACAGTGGCTTTAATTAAGGAGAGACTCTTTTCATAAATGCCGTATGTTAAAAGTATTGAAATATTGTTCCTCAACGCACTCTGCACCCTTTTAGTAGTAAAGAAATTTAAATGCAAGCGCATTGCATGAATTGCACCGCGTGCTAATTAATGTTTGCACCAAAATCTATATTATACATGATATAAATATATTAATATGTTTTTATATGTAGAGCAACAGCTCTCTAATTAATGTGATATTACACAAAATTCTGCCACCGAAACGGTCATTGCGCCGTTCTGGCGCGTGATTTAATTAAAAGCAAATATCAAGTTGGTTTTTAATGCACAAAATGCAATCAATAGATAAAAATTAGGCGCGTAAGCACATGTGACACCGTGAAAACTAATGAGCTTCCAAATATTCAAAAACAGGTCGCGTGGATTAAAGCCGACGCAAAAGCCATATTAGCAATTCATGAGGTAAATATTTCTGGAAAAAAAATATTATCTATCCACTCGCAGTATGATTTCCATTCCAAAAAATCTATGTCATTCTCTACGCATCTGCATTTCAGCATGTAATCACAAATAATGATCGTCTCAGTGTGACACATAACGACTTCAACACATGGACTCTCGTGATCCGCAATGTTAAGATGGAGGATCGGGGTCAATACATGTGTCAGGTCAACACAGATCCAATGAAAATGCAGGTAACTCGGACTGTTGGCATGTGAACATGCCCAAGTCTGTCACTAGGGATAATTTAATAAATCGATATGCAAATGACTCCTGATGTTATGTGCGTTGTAGACTGCATTTCTGGAAGTGGTCATACCACCAGATATCATATATGAGGAGACTTCTGGCGATATGATGGTGCCTGAGGGTGGCTCAGCGAAATTAGTATGCAAAGCGCGTGGCTACCCAAAACCGAAAATTGTCTGGAGGCGAGAGGATGGTCGAGAAATCATTGCCCGGAATGCACCACATGGGAAAACAAAATGTAAGCTAAATCTTCATTTTCACTCTCTCTCTCTCCTTCTCATCTCGCTTAACCCCGCAACATAATGCCATTCATGGCCAGTCGGCAGATGCAAACACTTGATAAGCACCTAATGCATTCTTTTACCGTGTCGCAGCTCTAGCCGTCGAAGGGGAGACACTGTGGCTGTCCAAGCTCACGAGGTCCGAGATGGGAGCCTACCTGTGCATAGGTGAGAATCATCAAACCCGACTAGTGAGTTGAACAAGCAATATTTATTGACCTCCCCTTCCATTTTCCTGCAGCATCAAACGGTGTTCCTCCGTCTGTGAGCAAAAGGATGAAGCTGCAAGTTCACTGTGAGTAAATATAAAATTTGCAAATGCATTTGCAAATATAGGCAGCTAGTGCGATCATATTTAAAATTCAAATAGGGCAAGTAGTGATTCAAGTGCAGTCCTAACTTGGTTATCTTCCGGTTTCCTGTCCAAGTATTATGCCAGTTACAGTTGGAATTTGACCACAATCCGGAATTGCATACACACGGCCATCTCGCATGGTCTCCACCCACTCCCACCCGCAGACCCTTCATCTCAATGCGTTGAGAAGGAAGATGAACAATAGAATGAAATGTTCAAATTCTGTGGCATTCCATATATTTGTCAAATAGCCCAACTTTATCAAACCACCGCACGATACTCTCTGTGGTGCCATTGAATGAAGGGAGATTTTATTCATAAATTACTGTCATTATATTGTCATGGTAATCATGAACATTTACAATCTCGATTATATGTTTGCGTAAATAAATAACTCTATCCGACTATCTTGTATATATAGAAATTGCATTTTCTCTATCAATTTATGTGCAACACTGACGAAACAGTTTACTGAATTATATAAAACTTTCAAGACTTTGGAAAAATAAAAACTTTTCCATTAACTAAAATTCTAAACTATTCATACAATTGTTAAGAGTTGAACAAGTTTTAACCGTGCCAGTACAACATTTATTTGTAGCATTTGCAGCCTTGTTTAGCATCTCGACAGCAGTTGAGCGAGAAAAGGAGGGGAAATAAAATTCTTGGAATGTTTGACCACAGCAAATGGAAGTTTCCAAGAGTGGCTGTGAGGTCATAGAATAAGTGAAGAATGCAAAAGTAATCTCAACTTTCAAACCAAGAAATCAACATAGGATGAGGAATTACCCCGCCTTGGGGCATTTTCACATATTTTGTGGTTAACATCAAAAACCCAAAATAAGTATCGCAACATCGGGAAAAATGTTTTATGTGAAAAGATTCTTCATCGCAAGAATTCAAATTGCTTTTCTTTCGTGCGGGTGGCATGGAAATTCGCTCTTCGGGAATGAAATACGAAGGGGTGGCCCGAGAAGGAGGGCATTCAATAAATTCCTCTGATGAAAGTGCTATAAAAACGAAATAATTAATTTCATTTTCCAGATTCTGCATCTTCCTTATCTCTTTGCACAAAGTCAATTGGAAGATTGAAATGCAAAAAACCCAAAGCATCACCTAATTCCATTTTATTTCACTCTTTCTCATGCTCTCGCTGCTGTATTCCGCCACTCCAACCCTGCCAAGTATCATTTTCGTCAAACTTTTTTAATATTTTCTCGACTGATCTTATGTGCACGAGGCACACGCTTCTGGCACCACATTCACATGAGGAGAGAAAATTCAGGAGTCGGAAACTTTTTCGATACATTTTTAAGCATCAGCAGAGTAAAAGTTTATCCCCCTCTATTTCACCTCTTTTTTCTGTTATTTTTCCGCTCGCAATGTACCACTTTCCACCCATTCACCTCTTGTAGTTTCAGTGTTTAGTAAACTCACGCGAAAAGAGAAAGATTCCCCGCACATTTCCACTCTCACCCTCTCGACAACATCAATTCAATTCGGATCGGGTTTGAAGCAAACGCTTGTGCGCAATTCAACAATAAAACACGATAAAAGATACTTCATCGTCAAATATTCAGCCCCCAGCAACAGTGGATATAGTCTCATACTGAGAATTTTACCCCCAAATTTCCGCCACTATGCGTATTGCCATAAATCCTCACATTGAGATTTTCCAACGGAAATTTTCATTGCTCTCTCTCTTATCCAACTTTTATTCTTGCTGTTCTACAAAGCGTATAAACGCTAACGTTATTCCAAATCTTCTCCGCGCTCTTCTTTTCATATCAAACCACATGTTGTGGGAAACTTCGACAGTACATGCGGAAAGGGGAGCGTTTGTACGGAACGTGTCGGTAAATCTCACGGCGTAGAGTCAAGATTCTTGTTTTATCATTTGCCAATCGCCGACTAATTTCATTGAATACATTTTCAATTTGTCCTTATAATGGTTGAAAACTAAACTGACCAGAAAAACAACACGTATGCAAAACTCTAATTCACTTTGAAGATGCAAAGCATGAAATAACTGTTCAACAATCTATCATAGTGCCTGACTCTAATGCAACCTCAAATTGTTCATACTGCAACAACTTTTGCACTTAGTCTCATGCTTAAGTATCAACAGGAACACACATAGGATATCCTCACCCATGAAATCCTACTCTACTCAGTATGTTAAGAGCTTTAAGGTCACTGGCATAATACCGCAAACAATGCATGGAGCTGGATGAATAAGCATCATAGGGTTTATTATCTCTTCCGCATGTCTCTTCCGACGGTCATTTGCACAGGAAAGAATTAACTAAACCCTTCAGCGCATCGTGGCGAAAAATTGGCCGAAAATTTCGAGACAAAACCCCCAGTATATTCATAAAATTAGTCCACACGATGCGGTATTCCAGTGTTTTTACCCCATACAAGGCAAATAAAGAGGCGTTTTGCTATTGGAGGAGGGCAGGATTCTATATACTTCCTGTTGAGGTCAAATTTCCTCGGTCATCCTATTGCATCGGTTGTGTGTGAAATATTCCCGAGGATTACCCACTGTATTGTTATTGGCCATTGTTTGACATTTAGGCCACCTTCCCACATCATTTGTACAGCGGCTCATGCATATTGATGTTGGCACTAAATTATAATTGTTCCAAAGCATTATCTGAATATTTTCAATTAAGCAAACACAAATGATCATATAACTATTATGCAACTATTTACACTTTCCTTAAAAATGGGGGTTCAGAGTGGCATCAGCACATATAGTGTTTTAATTCCCCAATACTGCTGAGGCCTGGGCTTAATTTGGATCCTCCGAATACAGTCGATGTACAGAATCTCATTGAATTATAATGCAAAGTGCAAGTAATAAAATATAGAATCTGTTTCTTTACAGTTCATCCGCTCATTCAAGTTCCGAATCAGCTTGTTGGCGCGCCGTATGCTACAGATGTCACACTAATTTGTAACGTGGAGGCGTCCCCAAAAGCCATAAACTATTGGCAGCGCGAAAATGGTAAAGTGTTCTTACACTAATCTGACAGAAGCACTCGCTAAACAGTACGAGCACTATGGGTGTCTCATGGAAAATGTTGGTTTTCTTATCATTGTAGGAGAAATGATCATAACTAATGACCGATACGCAATGACCGAGACAGAAAATTCAATGTATGCCGTTCAAATGGTATTGGTGATCAGGAAGCTGCAGAAGTCAGATTTTGGAGGGTTCAAGTGTATATCAAAAAATAGTATCGGAGATGCGGAGGGTACAATTAGACTATATCGTGAGTAAATCTACAATCTCTTCATGTATATCTTATATATCACATGTTATGTGTCATGTAAAAAGTCACTGAACACACGTGGTAGAACCCAATTCAATAATAGTGCTACGTGAAAGAAATTCACCATACCTTTTCTTGAAATAATCCAGCAAAAAGCAAGGAGAGAGAGAAGATAAAAAACAATCAGAAACTTCATCACAAAATAAAATTCACATTCGGGCAATTTTTCTTGTGCTTTTTTATCTCCATTCTTCTTCTTTCTTAAAATTTAATTCACTTGAGATTTAAACGATGTGCGGCACCCCAAGAGGGTAAGAATAGCACACTGGAAAATCTCCACCACGTGAAGCGTTTGGGGGATGCTGGGTGTGAGTGAAAGGCATCCCCGATGAACGAGTGGGCCGGCGGGAGGGAGCCCGGAGTGAGAGGGTGTCAGCGTAACAATTTTCTCAGGCACGGTTTTCATTCTTCAATTGTAACTCACGGCGGTTGGGCCAATTCTCCAAACCCCGTTTTGAAATTGTTGGAAAGATGAAGTGTACTCTTATGAATGTCAGAGGAGGAGCAGTGCTAGAGTGGTCCATGAAGAATGAGTGAGCCACTTGACTCAAACCACTCTCAATTTTCGCTTTATTGCACCATTTTCAGTCGTTCTTTTGTGAATTTTCTTCCTCAAATTCACGATGTGTTATTTGCTCTCATCCTGCCCCTCGTTACACACTCACTTTCACAATCTCAATACAGAATTGCATTTTTAAAGTGGGAAATCTCTTGGTTAAAGGTATAGCAAATGAACTCTTGTTATTTATAAAACGATATTGATCTCCTAAACTTTCGATCTGTGGATAAATTTGTTGGTATAACAAAACATATCTTTTAGAAATGGAGCCACCGAAGTCAACAAAAAATCAACATAGACAGAATGATGATGATGATAACGCTGGAAGTTCCGTAAGTTTCCCCATTTTTAGGAAAATTGTAGATTTATAGAAAATGCATCAATTTATTTATTTATTTTTATTTTTTGTTAAGCAACTGACTCCTTAGTTCATGTCTTCCAAATGAAATCATGCACATTACATATTCTTGTGTTTGCCAGAACAATTTCAAAGCCCATCAGACAGATTCCTTTGCACAAGCAAGACGCAATTAATGGGAACCTTTCTGATGGATAAAATAAACACAAATGTACAATTAGGAAAATAATTTATCAACGAACGACGACCTGCACGAGAATGGGAACATCATCAACAAAAACGGACGCCTCTACAAAGGTCTGCAGTCCGGTGAACCCGATGAAATGAATAGCAGTGCAAATAATGGTAGACTTGCCGCGAACCATTTCATCATTCTGCTCTTCGTGCTCTTCCAAACTGTACATTTGGTGAGTGTGGCTTCTGCCAGCATCCGGAGATATCCATTTTCGCTGCTCTCATAGTAATTGAAAATTTTCCAACTCAATTGAAAGGAGTGGATAGACAGTGTAGACCAAGAAAATACAACTTTTCTATTAAGGCAAAATGTAATAAACCTTCCCCATGCAACTTGACAAGGAAATTAACTATTGCGACCTTTCGACTCCTCACTTTCACGACTTTCACCTTTGAGTATACCCTTTTTCACACATTTACATTCAGTCTCTTTCCTCAATGACGTAAAACCGTATTTATTTTATATCTTGAATTCTGCGCTGCGCTCTGTTGACAGTACCACAATACCATTATATATAGAATGTATATTGGCATTTCGTCGTGTCAAGAATTAGAGGAAAATTTGTAAATAGGAATTTCTAAAGAGAAACGGTAGAAAAAGAAGTAAGGAAAATTTATACAGAAATTGAAAAAAATTGAAAACCACGAGACTCATATTCCATTCAATATAATAATATTATGTAATGAGAGAGAATGAGTGGATATTAATGTAAAGCCATATTAGTATTTAAATGATTATGAGGTAATTACCAACATTAACAAATTATAAATGTTTAATTGAATGTTAATTACTATGCATTTCGTTTATATAATTTGCAGTAACGAGAGTAATGATATACTCTAGCAAATGTTAATGATAGCACAAGGATTGCGATACATTTAAAAATTCCAAACATGCTACTAGTTGACAGTGATTTTTTCCCATTTTCTGCATTTCATTTTCAGCGACCTAAAATGCACTCAAAGAAAATTTGGCTATTTATAAAAATATACCGAAAACGGCAGTCATTCTATGATGAGAAAGATAAAAGTAATAATTTCAAATAATCCTAGAGAGAAGAACAAAATCAATAGAACAGAGAATGAAAATGTAGGAAATAATTCGAATTTTTCCCAAATAAATTTCTTTGGGTGTATTTAGTAATTTTGCCCCTCCTTCTAGAGCCCTTTGACTAGCTTCACCCTATTTCTCACTCACTTTCACATTCACCTCAGCCTATTCACCCACCCATTCTTCGCTCTTCACGCCATTAATCATTTCAATCAATCCAGACAGACATGACGATGATGACGGCAAACGGACGGTTATAAGGGAAAAGATGATGGAAAACCATTAACTGCATCAATGAATCATGTTTTAGGGATGATTTTCGGTTAAATTGTTGCTCTTTCCTAGCTCCTCTAAATACATACATGTGTAGGTATTTAGAATATTCTCAAAATTTTAATGATTGCTTTATTGACACTTTGGCAATCATTTTTTTCCTTAACACTACATGCACACTGGATTGTTCTTAAACTCCTACAGCACTTTTACCCTTATAAAAAGCACTCAGAAGCTTAATAAAGGAACACTTAATGAAACCATACAATAAAAAACTATCAATGAAAACCACTAGGAAGATAGAATAATCATGAAAAAACCATAAAAAGAATAAGCTAATAAGTGCCAAACAGATTTTATAAAAAGAAAAAAATATATATGAGAAATATTGAAAAAAATAAACCTGTATTGATTAAAATAAAAATTACATACAATTCTAACAAAAATGTGGCGCAATGTTAAATTAATTGTGTTTTAGATGGTTATATTTTAATGCTTTATATTTGTGTTGGATATGACTTGCGAGAAACAACTTGTAAAAAATATAGGAGATGACATATGATTTGGAAAACAAAAATATTGTACATATAAAGACGAAGAATAGGATGTAACACGAAATGATTGTATTGAGACAGACAAGAGGTGGCAGGAGACGGATATATGAATAAAAGAAAGTGACAAAATTAGTATAAAGGCATTTTATCATTCAACGTCATTTACTATCTCCTTATCCCCGAAAATCCCTCAAACAAACAGTTGAAATTTTATTGCATGAGGCATGAGATTGACGTCAGGATCAAGGGTAAGGAGTATCGCAAGATGGTGAGATGTAAGGGGAGGAAAATCATAGGAAAAATATAAAATGCACATATCAAAATGTGATAAGGTATTGAAAAGGGAGAAAAACATCAAAGATTTTTCACTGAATGTCTGATTAGTTTCCACCAGTCGTATCCCCGTGGTAAATCCATGAGAAAATTTCATGTGGAATTTATGGAAGAGATAGTAATACATCTATATACATAATCTTTTCATGTATGTATATACATGCACGTTCTTTTTCAACCTCCCTCTAGCACATTTTCACACTGAGAGAAATGAAAGATCTTCGGCCCTCGGATGGCATAGAGCGAAAAAATAATAAACCACTTGTCCCTTCGATTTCTGAGCTCTATTTATTTACTTTTATATTTGAAGTCAAGTTTGAAAAGTGTCAATTTTTTTCTCTCAATACTATTCAACACACTCAAAGAGGTTTGAATACCTTTTTTGCGAAACACTGACTTGACTCCGTTCACCGTTTTCAAAAGTGTGTGTAGTGTTTCTTTCCAGAATCCCGAAGTGGCCAAGTCTCGAGTCTATTTACATAAATTTAAATTTGCCAGCATCGTCTGTGCGAGCATAATTAAATTAAATCAGGGGAAATGCGAATTTGCAGAGCTTCTCAACTTCTACTTGTCAATTGTGCCGAATACACATTTTCATACATGAATAATTGTACGGTAATGGGGAAAATTTGATTTTCTCACCTGACTGTGAAACTCAATTTCACATCAAACACCCAAACACTTGGAGTAAGACATCAATTTTATTTTGTACATTTTATGTTTCATGAAGAAAATGATATATCTTTTTATTCTCTCATCAGCGAAAGAGCAAGTTCAAAAAGATTTTACACTTTGTGGAGGAAAAGGCGAGCGAGGTTGTGTTATGTATGAGAGAAATTGCAAACATCACTCTAGGGGAAAAGGTCAATCGAGTGAATGCTTCAATCTCAATTGCTCAGCACCAGCAAACCAGGATGGTCCCAGCAGGGGAGTTGGCACTACCCTATATTATTGTTGGAAAATCGTTTCTTACGGACGACGCAATCATAAAAATTTCCCTCAACCACTTATTGACTCAAATTCTCGAGTGGCTTCGGTGAAATTGAGAAAGTGAGAAAGCTATTTCAGCGAGTCAAAAAAGAAAACGTGTAAATTTTCGTTTCCCAGCGAAAATGACAAGGGTGTGCGTTGAGGAGAGAGGAAATGCATCAGATAGATAATTTTTCCTTCTCCATTGTCGCCACCTTCTCATGTTACACGTTAGAAATTCTTGTGAAGAAAAAGACGCCCAGAAGTGTCTTTACAACAGTTTCAAAGAATTATTTTCCAGTGAAAAACAATTCAATTTGCCAACTAGAAGCCTTCATAGTTCAAGTGCAATAAATCAAATGTACGACTCCCTCAGGATAACTTTTTGCTCTTAAATAAAGGTAGAAGACTAGAATGAAAATGAAACACTGAGGAGCTCCTCTTCCCGAAACTCATTTTTCACCTTTCCTCCTGCCGCAAAAAACCTCGCCAAGATAGAAGAGTTCCTTTTCGATTTTCAAGGTAAGACTCTACCAAGGGGTAAACATGTGTCACTCTGAGTGAATCCGAATTGCTAAGATTACGTAATTGCGCCCAAAGATTTAGTTTCAGCGGCATTCGCATCATTTCCGGTCATTTGGCTTAATTTCGGGTATTAAACGGAATTTTACCAGAATTCAGGTAGTTTTTCTCGGAATTTTGACAAAGTATTTTTTTTTTTTGAAAATTATCTAAAGTATCTTATAAAATTATTTGATTAGAGAATATTAAGTTTCTTCAAAAATCGTCTTGTGACTTCCCCCTTGATTCGAAACTTTTATATATTCTGTAAACGCTATTTGACTAAATTAAACCATCATACTGATTTAACTAACCTAGCACATTGCAAACATTTTTCATGTAATTTACTGTAGAACTTTCATCAGAATATAATTTTATTTGTTTTCCTGCCTTAGCATTACAACCATTTCAAAGTACGTGAGAAAAATGCTGAACGAATTCTAAACAAGAATGCTTTCTCGCTCCAGCCCTAACCAAAAAAAAATATCATCATTAAGACTTCCCATGTACAGAGGAGAACTTAACGACACGAATGCCATTAGCAAAAAAATCAGAGGGAAGAAGAAAAGTGTTAAAATTAAGTTATGGGATAATTCTATATTTGTGTGCATTTTTGTAATAGTACTTCCCTTGCTGGAGCTTTTACTCTTTCTTTTAAGTATTCACCACGGAATTTATTTTAATTTCCAACACCACCCAAAAACAAGACGTGGCCTGAAAATAAATTTTCCTTTACTCACACTTTCGAAAATGCGCATCTCCGGGCAGACTTTCTGCAGAGAAAATCTTTTGATAAGCACACATATACAGTAGACTGTGTATGTACAGAACATCAATCGAGTATAGTGTTTGCCTTTCCGACGAAACAGAAGAATTTTCTTGAAAATTAGGAAATACCAGATGCATATCGCTATTGGGAAGGAGCATGAGAGCTCTGGGAGTAACAATAACATGAAAACCACACAATTCCCTCTCATTGAAAACCACGGAAAATCTACAACAAAAACAAAATGCCTGTACACCCAATTTTGTGCTGAACACATTTTCAATGCGATTAATATCGACTCCAAACATTGAGAGAATAACAGCAACAAATTGCACATGAGCGTTACTTCGGAGAATTTTTGGAATGTGTAAAATTAGGAAATCAAGATATAATCCAGGGGGAAAGGCTTGTGCATCGTGAATAGGGTAAACACGATAAAAATCTATTATTACTTCAGTGTGAGGAAATTCTTTTAATACCTTGTTGCTCACATGGTTTCAGATAAATAAGCACGCTGAATAATTCCGTATTGTTAAACTTATGTCGTCTTTAACCGTATATCAATTGTCTTAATAAGTTTCCAACTCTATTCATATCAGTTATCACAATCTGATTTACAACGTACCATAATATGATTTTATCAAGAAGTGACGATTATTAGACCATAAATGTGTAAGTAAAGCATGTGTGGAAATGTAACTTTAAATCTATACAATTAGTTTAACAATTATAGTACTCATACTTCCAAGAAACTATGTTAAATCATGTTTACATGGAGCTGACTCATTTGTAGCCAAAATAAAATTCTATATTTATGAGATATTTATTTCTCAAGTATATAATATCAATTTGATTGTGTAATTGAGTTGACACACAATGTGAGAGACAATATTTGCGACGATATTAAATTACTTTCATTTTTATCCCAAGTCTACCTGTTCTCAAGCACAAACTGCCGTGAAGCAGATGAAGGAATTATTTAAAGCGGCATTTCCTTTTCTCATGTCAATATTGAATTACCACTTAATGTGGTAAAATTGAGAAAATGTCATCATCCAAGCAGCATTTCTTAAGCACCGTATTATGTGGTGTGCGATGGTAGCAAATTGACGTGCTGAGTAACAGGCAGTCTCAAATGTATGTCGCTTCCGACGACTGTTCTCCACTCATCTCGCCTTCATTATCCACTTGCTTATTTTCCACCCCACACTGTCGCGCCAGTTCATCATCCTTTGTTAACCACCAGTGCTAAAGTGAATTGGGTTTTACAATGTAAAATATTGAAAAACTCTTCACGTTTTCCGTTGTTTTCTAATTTACTTAAAGACGAGCTCAACTTCTTGCCTCGCACAAAGTCACAATGTAAGCGAGGAGATCCTCTCGAATGAGGGATATTTTCCACTTCCTCACTCTGCAACCCAGCCTCAGATACTCAGACACGTAGAAAGTGAGGAAATGTCTGCGGAATCGAATGAAAGGTTTGCAATTCTTTAGGCTATTGGCAAAAAAAACCCATTTTATTCAGGGAGCGTTTTTCCCATAATATAATTACACATTTTGAAATTCAATAATATGTAGTAATACATAATATCATGAAGAAATTGCATTAAACTTTCTTGTGTGAACTTAGATTAGAAAAATACACCACTCTGTCGTGAGATATCATATACTGTAAGACACCCTTTTGTTTGTTTATAACGTAATAATGGCTTTTGCAACTAGGAAAAGTAATGCAATTCGCTACGTGCTAGAACTTTAAAAAAAAGTATCAGTATTTCACACTGTAAGTAATTTTGTGATAGATATGAAATTTCTTTGTGAGAAAAAGGGTCGATAATGAATTACTTTCGGATTATAGACCTAATTATTGGGCTTACATTACTTGCAATATTCTATAAAGATACACAAATAAGGTTGATGAGTTAAACATACAAAACGAAGTAAAATGAGCTACAAGAAACACCCCTTCAAATGAATATATGTAAATTTATCAGAGAATGATAAGGTGACAAACGTATAGAGATTATTGTATTCGTTTCACAATGCGTGAAAGACATAAACATGACTTTGTAAGACGTTATCTTACAATATTACATCTATTTATGTGTACATATGGGTGTATTGTCTCCAACAAGCACCCAATTGAGCAAATTTTCGTGAAATTGGTAGCAATTTTCGCATGAGAACAGTATATATTGTCCCTATTGTGTGTCGAAACACTGACGCCTACCATTAATTGTGTAATTAAACAGAGTATGGAGAAGTTATTTTGATAAAGTGAAAAGGGGAATTTGATAACACATAAAAGCATCATCCACTCTAGCACTCAATACCACTAAAACCCCAATGATTTCTCCTTCTTCTTCTGTCTCCTCTCTCGCCTCGGCGCTTCTATCTATCTAATTCGCTGTGCAACCACGCGGCGGCACATCAATTCAATATTATTACAATTTTGTGCTTGATGTGCGTATCAGAGGCGCAGATTAATGAAATTAAGTCATATTCCACGTTGTAATAACATTCCCTAATGTTTGGTGGCTGCGTGGCAAAAACATATAACACACAGAATCCGCCACTCTCGCTCCAGAAGCGACACTTCCCACTCAGCACCCCCTGCGGCAAATTGTGATAATGTATGTGGCATGGAATTGAAACAAATTCACCCTTTGATGATAAGCCTTTATGATTTGCATGCAG